AAATGTCAAGCTCCAAACTTGTCTAATGTAGATATATAGAACCCCATGTGTGTATAGGTGCCCATCTGTAGATATGTAGAACCTCATGTGTGTATATATGCACATCTGTAGATATGTAGAGCCCCATGTGTGTATACATGCACATCTGTAGATATGTAGAGCCCCATGTGTGTGTACACATGCACATCTGTAGATATGTAGAGCCCCATGTGTGTATACATGCACATCTGTAGATATGTAGAGCCCCATGTGTGTATACATGCACATCTGTAGATATGTAGAGCCCCATGTGTGTATATGTGCACATCTGACATAAGAAAATTAACAAAACTGTTAATTGGTTATTTCTAGATCACAGGACGATCTTAGTTTTTTTTCACCTTTTAAAATAAATATAAGTATTATTAGTTATTTGCATGTAATGATATATTTTATTTCATATTTTTCCTCTTTAAATATTTATTTTTGTGTATGAGTTTTTTGCCTTCAGTATGTATATGTGTACTAGCACCCACAGAGGACCAAAGATGGCACTTGATCCCCAGGAACTGGAGTTATAAATGGCTGTAAGCTACCATGTGGGTACTGGGAACTAAACCCAGGTCCTTTACAGGAGCAGACTCTGCTCTTAATCACTGAGCATCTCTCATCCCCTATATTTTTCTTTCCTTTTGTTTTGTTCTGTTTTCCGTATATTTTTCTTCTTAAAAACATTTTTTAGATTTTCTAAAGTACAACATTTTTCAACAAAAACACTTTGTATTAACACGAAGAGCAGTGAGTCTATCCACTGATACATGAGTGGCTTGAGGCCACAGAAGTCGTCACTTAGATGGCTAAGGATCAATTACACAAACAAACAAATATGAAACAAAACTGGGGGCTGGAGAGAAGGTTCACTGGACACTGGATAAGCCTGAGTACAGTCCTTGCAGAGAACCTGTTGACAGCACCCACGTCAGGAGGCTCACAGCCCCTGGAACTCCAGCTCCCAGGGATCCAGTGCCTCTGGTCTCCAAGGGCGCTTGCTCTCGCATGCACACCCGCACATCCGCAATTTAAAAAGCGTTTTTAACTTTTTTTTTTTTTTTTTTTTATTTTTCGAGACAGGGTTTCTCCGTAGCTTTTGGTTCCTGTCCTGGAACTAGCTCTTGTAGACCAGGCTGGCCTCGAACTCCCAGAGATCCGCCTGCCTCTGCCTCCCGAGTGCTGGGATTAAAGGCGTGCGCCACCACCGCCCGGCAGCGTTTTTAACTCTTAAATGTAAATGATGTAGGGGTCATAAAACAACATGTAATAATGAAGTCAATCACCAGGAATAGAGTGGAAAATGAGTTTAGTTATGGGACTGAGTAGTGTTTAGAACGGCGTCACCCATTTATTTGACAGGGCACCACCACTGCACACAGTCTCATCAGTTTACACTAACGTTTTAAATATCTGGTCCTGAGTGTCCTAGCTTGTTCCTTCCAAATCCTTCATAATGAGGAAGAACCTGTTAAGAAAATTCTAAAATGATTTCTCCAAAAGGTTTTTTTTTAAAGCTCCATGACATTCCTTCTGACCACAAGGATATATCTTGATTTACAAGTTTGTATAATCTCTGCTTGATAATACTGGACAGTCCTGATGAAGACAAGCCCCAAAAGAAAAACTTCATGCTTACCACCACTAGCAGACCATGCTGAAACCTTTAACTCAGCCACACCTTGGTGTGAATACCTCCTAAAAGCCCACTACCCATTTACTTAATTTCTCATAGAAGTCAACACAGAATATCTCCAAACCCATCATAAATGACAACACTGTATCTTTTATTTTCTATCACGTAATTTTAAATCTCAAAACATCAATAGCTGAGAGAGTAGGACATCCGGCATGAAACGACAACACTAAGCTGCAGTCTGCAGAACGGTCAGTCCACTGAGGTGACGGGATGCAGGGTGCCGTTCCAATAGCAGCTCCTCTCTTGTTCTTGGTGGCGACAGTTCAAGTGTATTTTTAAAAATTTTCACTTGTAAACAACATGAATCAAAATGGCCTATGAGGTAATCTAAGCACTACAAGATAATTTTAAAATACTAGATAAAACACCGTGTTAAAGACAAACAGAAATCAGGGTTCACTTTGGTCTTTATATGGCTAGAGTTGTTAACAGCGCGAGAGACACACACTGATTAAAGCCAGCTTGGTGGTGGGCGCCTGCGGTTGACGAAGTCAGTGACGGGAGAGGTAGTCGGCACCATCCTTTCAGGCTGGGAACGGACAAGGGTAAGCCACGGGCGTGTTAACGTCGGAATACTTGCTCACAGTACAGTACTTTGTTCCAAGCGTAAGACCCACAGTGCGTCACAGGTCACCCTCTCACTGTGACAGAACAACCAGGTCACAACTCACACAGGCACATCTTGAGGCTGCTGTCAGTATGTAAGACAGAACTGGATGCTTTCAACAAGTTGTTCTTTTTCTAAAACAAATACATCTCATTAAGACATCTAGAAAATTAAAGTCGGCGCAGCTGCACTTGCATATAATTTCCTGGATTTTATAACAAAGGTGAAATACATATATATTTTAAGATAAACATTTCTTAGAGAAAACAGATAAATTAATTTAAATTAACTTAAGACTTAATGAGATTCCCCACATCCTGTCTAATCCCTCCTACAGTGAGTGTCACAAAGTCTATCAACACTCGGGGCCTTCCATTCACAAACTACGTGCAACCAGTGGCATCTCAGGCCTGCACTGGTGCAAAATAAATCTGAGCCAGAGTACAAAAATAATTGGCAATAAAAACCATCCTATATTTGGGAGGTGGACTGATGCTAATATCGTGATGTCTTTATCCTTTCCTTTAGATTGCACACTAAAATTTCTAAGTTATAAGCAGATAAAAATCTCCCTAAATCATTCATTTGTAAAAATACATCCAAAGACTAGAAATACAAGTATAAAAACGTCTCCACTATGTCCTGCTGTGTAGAGAATGAAGGGTCTGCAGGCTAAAAGGCTGGTAGGACATCATTTTTGGAATTACCTTTGTGTTGACATGGAGGGTGGGTCAAAAGGTAGCTCAATTCATAGACCATCGCCCCACTATTAGGAACCCCTGAAAAAAATGGTGCTTCACAGACTCCTTTCCCTCCTGGGTAGGAGTGGCACTGCACTTTCAGTTCCCTCTATGGCAGGCAGGCGGCCTGCTGCTGGTTTGTTCCGCACCAGGGGCTTGTAATGATGAAGTCTGCTTTGTCTTCAGTGCAACAAAGATACACGTGAAGGGGGTAGGAATCTTTTACATCATGTTTGCTTCTGTGCATCCTCCTGCTCCCACCTCTAAGCAACAGAGCTGTTTTCAAGACTGTTTCTGTGTTGTTTTGCTTAGCATAAAGAGTGCCTATACTCCTTTACACTCAATACATGTTAACTTTAAGGAAATGCTTGGAGACTTTGCTACCTAACATGAGAAGTCCTATTATTCACAGGCATTTTGGAGAAACATGCAGTTGTAAACGCCTATCTATGCTACAGATTGAAAGTGTCTGTACCAGAGAATTACTATAAGGCTGCAGCAGCATCAAGGTGTGCTATGTAATAGCTAGGAGGTAGCCATTTGCTGTAAACGGAATGTTTCACCAATGGGAATGAGCAATGTGCTCATATCAGTGAATTCACATCTGCAAGGAGTGGACGAGTTTGCTTTATGAGGCTTTTCACATGAAATAAAAACAGGAGGACCAATACCTGATATTCAGAATTATAATCGATGTCAAACTCAGAGGTAGTTACCAACAAGTACATGTACGAACATAAAGACCTAATTTATTTGGCTTGTTTCGAGTAGGCAGGGCGATAGATTAGTCTGTAAAGAAACAATAAAAACATCATATTGTATGTTCCCTGAGCAAAGTTCTTTGTCCTGAGCATGTAACAGTGACAATATTTTCATATAAAAAATAAACCCCAACTTTAACCATAAGGTTCTGTATGTGCTCTTAGTAATTCAGTCTGCTTAGATGCTGAAAAATGTCAACTGCACCCATAAGGTCCATAGTTCAAGTGTTCCAGAATTTTCTACTTAATTTTTAAAAGTGATCTCAGCTCTGAATTTTCATATGTAAACAGAATGTCCAATTTTCAAGTCCATAATTTCCTATTTCTATAGTCAAGGAACTTTGGTTTGAACTTTCAAAGTCACCTGTCATATTTTGCTTGTACAACTGTTACTTTGTTCATTATACTTGGGTGACACTTTGATTTGTCTACATAATTTAAATAAGCTTGAAATGCTCACATAAGGCAAGGCAGTACTTCTCTATGGCTACGTCACATTCAATATCGTCAACAGTAAGCTCTGCACTACAGCACACTGACACATCAACAGAATACTACGGGAATTCTCATAAACACTGTCAAGAGATTCAAGCTAACCTGGAAAGGACTGGCACACGGGAGGAAGGAACTCCTCAGCAGAATGCATCTCATTTGAGTCACGATGCTTTCTTGTTTGATTATCTGAGCTTACACCAACAGGCCCATATAAATTATATTAACTGCCAAAATTATGCACTGCAATTCCTTGGTACCTTCTTGGAGATGTTTCAAATTTTTTTTTTTTAACATGATGGAGAACAGAACTATACTAAGACAATCTGTTCGCAAACTGAGAATCCATCTGAGAAGATTCTTATCAATAGCCCCGAATGCTCATCCTGAATCCGTAACTTAGGTTACTTCAACTTCTATACTCCAGGCAACTGCCATGGCATCAATGTTATCAGAGAAAGTATTTCTGGCCACATGGCAGTGGGGATTTGTTAATTCTGCTCCAGGCTTATCATTCTAGCTGCCTGCCACCAAATGCTACTCTTTTTAGTATCAGCCACAGACTGTATCTGTTGGGCAACTGTAAGCATCTACTTAATTTTCACTCTAAGCCGCATTATTTTTTCATTTCTATGGTGTTTGTTTTAAAACAGGTCTGAGGATTCTATGGGGATAATAAAGGCAGCCACTAAAATATACCCAAATAATTAGTTTCCTTTAAGGCTTCAGTAGTAAGTAAGGAGACCTTCCCGTTCTAAGTGATGGTTCAGGAGCTGCTTAGTCAAGGGAGGCTTCCGTTGCCATAGTCCCTTAAAAACCTAAGAAATATGTAAAAGAGCTGGTATCAAAATACCACTGAAAAGGATTACACCATGATATTTATACATTACCCTCCCCTTCATTCTTCTTAATAGGCATGTAAATCACAATCAGAACAAAAGACACTGAAATACCAGCCCAGAAACTTCACATTCATTGTCTTTTCTGGAGTTATGTATCCAAAAATAAAAGCTTATGGCAGTCAGAGGCATTAGAGTTAAGTTGCCACCTTCAAACAGGAGAAGGCAGATAACAGCAAAAGCAAGCACTCCATCAGCACCAGGACACAGCAGTGAATCCAGACTTGGGAGGCACCGAGTATCCCAAAAACCTTTAGTACCATTTGACTGGCAGTCTGAGATCTGATGCATACTTTGGTTCACAAAAAAGTAACAGTCAGGAGGTTATGTTTATGTAATATAAAAGAAAATTTAGGAAAAATTCTAAGGGTTAATTATGAGACCACCTCAAATGCTTCACATGGATTTTCAATGCTTGGAGATGCCCAATTATCTGTGGGAGAGTATGTGCTTATATCTCCATAATACATGTTTAAAGACAGGCCTATACACACATTTATCTATACACATGTATGTGTATGTATACACCTGTGCTCCTATGTGAAATCTCTACACATACATATAGACTTAAGTCTCTCTTCTCACTTATGCAGCACATACTATATGTATTTCGAGTCTATAAAACATGAAACCCTGCTTAAATGTAATTTGCTCAAGAATGATTTGTCTGATTAAGAAATTCACAGTTCCTCAACAGTAGTTAAAATCCCGGTCAGCTGCTATCTGTAGAATACTATTCCCCTGTGCTTGCGTGAGGTAGACTTCCCAGCCGGGTGAAGAAAATGCCGACGAGATTAAGATTTTTTCCGTTTCTGAATTGAAGGCCCCTTTTTGTTTGGCTCTTCTGTTGCTACAAATGCCTTCGTGGATGAAACTTGTTGGGGTGACCTGTCTGACAGCTCTGCCATCTCTGACCTCGCCTCCTGAGGAAAACGTGATGTGTAGCCATGGCCCCCTCCCACTTCTCTTGGCGAAGAAGAAGTGCAGGGCTGGGACTCTGTCTCCTGTCTTCCCTGAGCGCTGGCGGGCGGCTGTGCAATAATCCTGTGCGGGCAGTTTGCTACCATGTGCATGATGCTCTGGCAGTAATGGCACTTCTTTGGCTGAGGAGGTAGACTACATTCTTTAGCATGATGGTCAAGGCCACCGCAGTTGTAGCATCTGCAAAGAAATACGAGAAAAATATCTTAAAAGTAGGTAGAGTGTATAATTAATGAAAAGCAGTGGTTATTAAAATAATTAAATATTAAAATTATTATTATAAATAATAATTATTGAAATAATAATTTACATTGATGTCAACTTTAATCACCAAAATTCAAAAGCTGTCGATGAGATCAGTTTATTCAATGTGACTTGATATGAACCATTTATACTATTTATACTGGCTGCTTTAAGGCTTATCATCACCAAAATGACCCAGCGACTTTAGAAATTAGTTGGTGAAACACAACAGTTGGTGAAACACAACAGTCAGTGAAAACAAAGGCACCAAAAATGATAAGGATTCCCATACAGAAATGAGTCACTCAAGTTTAATGGTTTATTGTGAAAGAATAGTTTGACCCACTAGATGGCAGTCAATGATAAACCAAAGATCCACCAGCTGGCTTTAAAAATGAATATAAAAATATAGTTGTCTGTCATGATAGAAATTAACTTGCTCAGCCTTTAGGAAAATTATAGTCTAAATTAAGTTTTATGGCTTAAAAAAGACTTCAGTGTTTATTATTTTATCCATGGAAGCTAATAGGACTAAAATAATTTTTTACCTTTGTATAAAATTTACAAGGAAATTTGATACCTAAGCTGTCTAGTCAAAAAACAAACAAACAAAACAATGATGTCCAGTGTTTTACAAAGCATGAGGCAAGACAGTGAGTGTCCAAACCAGAACAATGCTTCAAAGAAGCATCCGAGGATGGAGACCAAACAGTTCAGTCTAATGCTAGCTGGTACCTGGAAAAGCTGGCTTGTTCTTCCTATAGACACTAGCTTTCCCTTAGAGTAAACTTCCCTAAACTGAAGAAAGCATAAACCTCACTCTCATTTGTTACTTAAGTCTGAAGGGACACTGGAGACACTGACGGGGTTCCATACTAGATGCTGGATATCCAACTTCTAAAAACAGAGTAAAGTAATTCATTTACTCAATTCCAATCATAATTTCCTTCTCAAAATACAGTTTTAAAAATGGAGACACAGAGACTGGAGAGATGACTTAGAGATTAGGAGCACTGGCTTCTATTCCAGAAGACCCAGGATCAATTCCCAGCAACCACATGGTAGCTCCCAACTGTCTGTAACCCCAGTTCTAGGGGATCCAACAGCCTCATGCAGACATATTAACAAACATAACACCAATGCACATAAAAAATAAAAAGGAATTGTCAAAAATGGAGGATCTCAGAAGCACTTGTATTTTAAAAAGTTTCGTTCTGAGTCTTAAAGAGAATTTGCTCACTGATTAATGTTTCCAAACAACTGTTTTAGAGGTTTTTATATTAAATTTACTTTCCAAGTACAGTTATAATTCCATATTTCTCACCATAAAGCACATTATAAATCAGTATTTTTAAAACTGAAGAGCAAAATATATGATAGATGTAAAAAGTAGTTTAAGACTATATGATCTATATGATTAATTATATTTGTATGTTTGAGAACGCCAAGCTTGGTAACTTAATTATTTTACATTTAAAAAACAAATTAGTTACTAGTAATTTAACAAGCACTGTATGTAGATACTCAGCATAAATTAAGGTTAAGCATCGTCTGCTTCCCCATTTGCAATATTAGCATTATTTATTTATTTACTTACTTATTTAATGTATGCATACTCTATATGTATGTACAAATTTATGCCAGAAGAGGGCATCAGATCCCACTATAGATGGTTGGGAACTGCCATGTAGTTGCTGGTAATTGAACTTAGGACCTCTCCTCTGGAAGGGCAGCAAATATTCCCAACCACTGAGCCATCTCTTCAGCTCCCTGTCAATGTCATCTTACAGAACAGACAAGATGGGATTCTATTCTTTGTAAAAGCCAATAGGCACTTGTTTATCTTAATAGACTGCATTATGTTTTCAAATGTAAAGAGAGAAGTCAAGAAATAAAGTGTTTTAATTCCTTGTTGCTCACATATACACCATAGTAAATTAAGCACTGCAGTTCAGATACAATACCCACACAATGACCTGAGAGCATAAAGGGAAACGATGAAAATTATTCAGCCAATGCTTGAAATTCACGCCCTCAAAATAGACTGGAAAATGTCACCTATGAATCTGACCACATTACTTACTGATCTGATTTCCTGTATAATGAGAAGAGGAATTCTTACATTAAATTTGCCTTTTGCCCACCTGTAAGGTATCTTTTTTTGTTCTTCATTACATTCATGTGCTGAGGTCAGAGGACAGCCAGGAGTTCATTTTCAAAGACAGAAAATAGGAGGAGACTCTAGGAATAGAGCCGACTCTCCTGCGTGCACAGCAGGTTCAGTCACTGTGGCTTGTACTGCCTTTTCCAATTCAGGGAACCATTCTGCCTACTCACTGAACAAGAGCCTGGATGTCAGAATTCTACTTTTACAAATGGAGTCTTAGATCATCATGTTTCATGAGCCTGGTTGTAAATGTTATTTTAAAGAAAGATATACAACTTTAGTTTCCCAGCATTTCAATGTGCACATGTACCTATTGGGATTTTTCAGGTTATATGTTAACATTAGGGTCACTGCATTTCACACTGATGATGAACATTCATTGTGCATGTGTAGAGCCTTAAAAGGGGAAGTGGTATTCATTTCCCTCTTCTATTTAAGCAGCGGCAATTGCTTTTACCAAGAACTTAGAACATGCTCATTATGGAACCCTTCATCCCAAGGGAATGACATGCTAACGTTCAGCTGCCTTTCAGCTCATAGATGATACCACAGCCACACATGTGAAACCTGCTGTACATGAGTCTAGACACCTTTATCCATACTTTGTACTTCTCCAAATCAGTTTGTTTTTATTCATTAGAAAGGATTTTATATTATGATGTGGGTATCAAAATAGTAAGTGTAGCACACAGCTACAAAGCTAACAAATGGGGAGAAAATGTCATGGTCAAAGGATTACATAAAGAAAACCATAGTCATGCTTTGTCATCAATTCCAACAGCCTGGCCTAAAAGTTAACATGATCTATTGTCTAGCATCCAGGACAGATCCCCAGCAGTGTTTTCAAAAAATTCAACCAAATAAATCATCTGTTCAGTATGTTATAAAATGCTGAGCCAATGGTACCAAGTAGGCTCTCTTATGCATTAAGCAAAAATATTAACAGAATTGTCCAATTTAATTTTAGGACATCATTGATTTCTTTGTGGAATCATGTGATAGATATGTTATCTCCAATGAGGTAGCACAATTCTATCAGTATTACTTATAATAGTTTAGAAGATTTTAAAGGTGAAAGAAAATTAACAGTAAATATTTTTAAGACTACCAAATTAAGATTAAAATTTCTAATTAAAAGGAGAATTCTATCAGTAAATAGAACAGAAGACCTGAGATAGCAAAGTTAACAAAGAAAAAATTCACAAACATCTTAAGGTTTTCAACTTATTTATTTCACTTTATTATGAAATAAGCAATTGTATATGTATATGTGTGTGATGTGTGTGTGCGTGTTAGTGTTAAAAACATATCCAAATTTCTGGTGATTCTGTTTTTAAAAATAAAAACTTTGATTTGGAAGTCAGAATTTAGCTGTTAACTATTACTCTTAGAAAATTAACTTTAGTGAAATAAATGAATATATATTGTATTTTTTCTTTTAAAAACAATTTACGGGGTTGGAGAGATGGGTCAGTGATTAAGCACATGTACTGATTTTGCAGGTGACCCAAATTCAGATCCTCATAACCCTATTGGGGGGGCTCATACAACCTCTGTACCTCTAGCTCCAGAGGAAGGGTGATATAAGATTCTCCTCTGTATGCTGTGAATAGCATTGGTGAATAAAGAAATTGGCTTGGCCTTACAGGGTAGAACTTAGCTAGGCAGGGAAAACTAAACTGAATGCTGGGAGGAAGAAGGCAGAGTCAGGGAGAAGCCATGTAGCCTGGCCAGAGACAGATGCTGGAACTTTAGCTGGTAAACCACAGCCATGTGGTGATACACAAGTGAATAGAAATGGGTTAAATTAATATGTAAGAGTTAGCCAATAAGAAGTTAGAGCTAATAGGCCAAGTAGTGATTTAATAATATGGTTTTTGAGTGGTTATTTCAGGTCTCAGCAACAGGGTGGCCGGGAAACAAGTGGTCTCCTCTTGCAACAGGAGGGATACTTGTAGCCCCTATTGGCAACTGTACTTACTCACTTACACAGACCCATACATACACAAATAACTAAAATTAAAATCTTCAAAATGATTTGCTTTTATGTATGTGTATGTATGTATGCCTGCATGAGTATATGTGTACCTTGGGTGTGCAGGTACCCACAAAGGTCAGAGATCTTATATCCACTGGAATCAGAGTTGCAGGCACTCACGAGCCATCTGATGTGGATGCTGAGAACAGAACCCTGATCCTCTAGAAGGTCAGTAAGTGCTCTCAACTGCTAAGCCATCTTTCCAGCCCAATAAATTGTACGTCCAAATGACATCAGCCAGAATGATTAGAATTGAGAAAGTGGGAGTATTACATTAAAATGTACTTTTGTAAATAATACTTCAATGCCTACAAAGTCTTTACCAGTTGTATGCTTTCCCTCTGTTCTAAAAGTGACTTGGAAAAAATTCAGGGAGTAGTCGCACTGTAGACATTCAGGCAACTATCTAAAAATATTATAAAGAAAACAAATTGGAATGGTTTTCAGTGTTTTTAAAATGAGAAGGATTTACATAGAAATTCAAATCCATGTCTGATCTTGTTTTCGGGGAACACAGGCAAAGTACAGGAGAAGAAGGGAGGTATAGGAAAGGCGTAGATAGAACTCCCAATTCTAAATGAGAAGCCATCCAATCAGATTGGAAAGTACTTCAGTGAAGAAACTGCAGAAAGCTGTCCAAAGAGATCCTTTACCATTCTCAGTTTTTTTATTACAGCTAAATAAGTTCCAGAAACAGAGGGCAGAGGGTATAGTGCACACAAGGTTATCAAC